CCTTAGAACAATCTGGAAAGATTCAAGTTAATTCGAATAGGAACAATGAATCTCCATCTAAAGAACTACCTACAGTCGAAAAATCACACATTTCCATCGCTCAAATTGGGAGATCTGAGATGGCGATTTCTGGAGAAATAGCGGAAAAAATGCCTCAGACGCGCCCTCGAATTCGAACACCTTCTGATGAAATGAATGACATTTCAACCACTGGGGAATCTTCCCCAGGTCAAGGAGTACATCTTACTATAATCTGGACTTGTTTGGATGGTGGAATCGCCGGCGACATAAAATCCGACCAAGTCACCAAAACTCTGGTCAACAATGGTGATGAAACTTTACACCAAACACATCCTTGTGATAAGGACAACCTTCCTGAGGTAACAAAATCACTGATTCAACACGAAAATAACATTGATTGTTCTTCCAACTTGCAGGACAAACTCACAGCACCAGCCGATGATCACAACTCAAGCGAGGAACTGGAGTCAATTCAAATTACTAACATGTTGAACCAAGGAAACAATCAAGATAAGAATTGCACCCCATTTCAAAGGAATGAAACAATGCAACCTGAAAATGAGGAATGTAATCCCAAAGAAATCACCGATGGGAATGGCCATGGAAGAACGCAAGGGATCCAACATGCTGTGGCAAAGCAAAGTAGAGAAGCAAACAATTCGAAAAACTTGGGACACACTTCTACAATAATGGAGAAACAGCATGACACAGGGGAGGCTATTTGGAAGCTAAAAGAGAAGGCCAATCCAGAAAAAGATACAATGCAACAAAGCAAACCTTATGAAGGTAACAATCACAGCCCGACTTCAGGTAAGTCACCTAACCTTGATCCTAACTCTAATAATCATATTAATCCTTCATCCTCTGATCCTAGTAGTAGACAAAATGGGAGTGGGAAAGGTCATGTTGTTGTGATCGATGGGAAGAATGTTGTGGAAACACAACCTGCTAAAGCCACTCAATATGATCGTAACCAAATAGCTCCCAAGATTCCCCCTCCTCTCAAAGTGTCTTCCAATTTTGATGCATATAGACCTGCACAGCAAAAAACCAACCAAAACAGCAATGATCAGAACCAAAACAAACTCCCTGCCACCAGTTCCATTAACAGAAATAACAACCAAATCCCTGATCCAGCTCCACCAACTGTAACTCAATCTCTTGCCACTAGACTTCAAGCTAACCAAATAAAAAATGCCATTCCAATGATCATTGATCAACCCATTATTACCACTAGACAAGGATATCCCTCAATAACTTTTTATGAAGCGAATTTCTTACAGAAGATGCCAGGCAGGTGTAAGTATACTTTGGTTGGTAAGTTCATCAATGCAATGCCTAGAATGGAAGTCATTCGTAAAAGCTTTATTGCTCAAACTCAGCTCACTGGGGGTGTCAAGATAGCACATTTTAATTCTAGGCACATTTACATTGACTTGGATAACGAGGCTGATCATATTTCTGTCTGGACAAAGCAAAAAATGTTCATTGCAGGTCACTCTATGAAACTACAGGTATGGACTCCTACTTTCAAACCTGCGGAGGAAACACCTATAGTACCTATCTGGATTACCTTACCAGAATTGCCCTGGCACTGTCATTATATGGATATTCTTACACCTTTACTGTCCCCTATTGGCAAAGCACTTTACCTTGACTCTGCAATCGTACAAAAAACTAGAGGTAGTGTTGCAAAGGTTCGAGTTCAGATTGACCTTACTAAAGAGAGACCTCAATATGTCTGGCTGGGATTCTCTGAGAAAGACCCTAATTTGGGCAAATGGCAAGTAATTGAATATGAAGATGTTCCTTCTTATTGCATATACTGTAAGCATCAGGGCCATCTGATAGGAGAATGTTCACAAAAAGAGAAAGATGATGAAACCAAGAAAAACAAAGAAATGGAGGCTAACAAAAAAGGACAAGACAGACAGCAAAATCAAAGCTCTAAAGGAAATCAGCAACAGGTTCAAATCAAGGAAAACATGCACTCAAACAGGCAAGGCAATGCGAAGAGGTATACTGAAGATGTTACAGAAAATAAGGAAGAGCAGTGGCAAATTTAAAACAAGAATAAAAATAGACAGCTCAACCAAAATCAAGATCCTAAGAAGGTTTGGAAACCACAGGCGCAGAAACAACAATTTAACCAATCTAAGGTGCAACACATCGAGCAGCAAAAAGGTATGACTTCTAAGACCCCTGTGTTGGAGAGGAATGAATCTGGTGATCAGATTCCTACACCCCCCTCCCCTGTTATTGTTGATGTGGATCATTGTTCTGATAATGAAATCCCCACCCCTGTAATTCCCCCTGTTGCTGTTGATGATCAGTGTGATCAAAATGATATCCCATCCCCAATATCCCCCCTGGTTGTAGCTACTGAAGTTATTGGAGGGAGGTTGGATGTACATGAGAAAACCTCTAATCTGCAGGAAGGGGTTCCTAGGGGAAGGGCTAGTGATCAAGCCCCTGCTACCACTCAAAATAATATTCCACACCACCAAAAAAAGGCCCACCTAACCAGTGATGAAGGTAAAGAAACACCAAATCAGCAGACTCTTACCAATAATGCACAGAGAAATCAACCCAAAGGGTCTATGGCCAAGGATATGGGAAACAAGGCAGGTCCAAGTAACCAGATGGAAACTCCTAAGAGTAAGAATAAACCTAGCAAAAAAAAGAGGAATGCTACCAGGAAGAAACAGAATGAACAGAATCACCAAAAACAATCCCCCAATACCAGTCATCCGGAGGACAATCCTTGTACTGACTTCATAATGACTGACCAGATTATGGATGTGGTTCCACTGAATGCTAAGAAGCCCCCTGATAAATCCAAAGTCAATGTTAGAGATGAGTATGATGTGGATAACTCAGAAGATGATTTTGATCCCGACAATCTGCCTATAAATGATCTAGATGAAGATGACGAGATTAGTGAATTACTAATCAAAGCTTTTAGCCCTAACAAGGATCATAAATTAGAAAAAGAGCTTCAACAAGTCACCGACAAACAAGGCCTCTCCCCAGAGGTATTCTTTTTGACAGACTCCCCCTCAAAAAACTAGACTCTCCTATTCCTGTTACATCAGGAAGACCAAACACTAGACTTTTCACCTCTAGATCATCCCAATGATTAGTACAACAGTATGGAATGCTAGAGGAATCAATACCCAAGGTGTTATTGAAAGACTCAAAAACCTCAAAAATATCCATCATGTGTCCATGATTGCTGTTCTGGAACCTTTCTCTGATAGCAACAATATCAACATGTTTAAAAGTATGCTTGCCATGGATAATGCTACTAGTAACACCAATGGAAAAATTTGGCTTTTTTGGACCACTGATATTTCTTGCACTATATTAGAAACGGATGAACAACAGATCACACTACAAGAAACACAACTTTTAGCGACAACTTTCTGTGGCGACACATAAAATTGCCACAAATATATGACTTATTGTGGCGATTAACCAAGTTGCCACAAAAAATGGCGGCTATAGTTGCGACACCTATTGTCGCCACAAAACGTAGGATGTTTAGTGGCGACTTAATTCATGTCGTCACAATAGTTACTAATTTTTTTCAATAAAAATAGATGAAAGTGTAATTTGTGGCGACTTATTGAGCGTCGTCGCAAAAAGTTTTAGTTGTAGCGACTTTGCCGCCACTAAATGTGGAGCTTTTGTAGCAACCTTTTATGTCGCTACTAAATGTTGAGCTTTTGTAGCAATATTCTATGTCGTCAATAAAAATGGAACTTTTGCAATAATCTTTTATATCGCCGGAAATTCCTTTATGTTGATATGATAAGACATTGTATGTCAATTTAACTTCAATTAATAGTTGTAAAGATAATAATGAATGATTTACTTATTTTTCATTGCTAAATTAGTACTTACACTAATTTAATGCATCTAATGAGTATTTTAAATATATTATTTAGGTATTAAATATTGTTATTAAAATATGTAATGTGATTAATTTCGTAATAAACTTATTTTAAGTAATTACTCAGTGATTGAAACATTTTGCACATTACAAAAATAACTAATTTTAGGCATATTTATTAGTATTACTTTTATTGAAAAGTAAATAAGCTAAATTATGATAATAAAGATATAAAATATGCTGTGAGTATTTCTTGTTTACTATTTTGAGTTCATAAGAAGGTTATTTTTAGTTTTTATTTATAAGAAAGGGATATTATAATAAAAATCTTTGTTCTATGATTCATTTTGATATACATTTTCTGTATTTAAAATCAAATACTTACGTCTCATATAATATGAAAATTCTACTCTTAAATATCCTATGAGATATATCTCGACCTAAGTATATTGAAATAAAGTTATTAAAATAAATGCTTTATTTTTCTAATTTAAGGATAATTTTAAAGTGGATGACTAAATAAACAAACTAAAATAAAAATGAAAATTTTCTATATAATAAAATATTATAATAAATCCGTGTTTTCCTTAAATTAAAATATGTACCTTAAATTACTTAGAGATTTTAATTTATATATGAACACGTTTGGAAAAATAACTAAGACAAGGAACCATTATTTATTTGTTTAATTCGAGTACGAAATAGAATGAGAAAAATCTATTAAGCAGGTTAATTAAACATCGATTTTCAGTATCAATTCTTGAACCAAAAACCCTGACCTGGCCCAAATAACCCAACTAAAGACCGCAATCCCTTCCCCATTTTCATTCAATCAAATTCTGAACCACATAAGCGCCGCCTCTAGGACGTCGGGAAAAGACCGGCACGACCTCTGCTATCGCCGTAGTTGTCTCCTCCACCCTCTCACGCCTCTTTGAAGCTTCTCACAGTTACAAATAGCGAATAGACCTCAAGAAGGAACACAACGACACTAATGATTTCTCCTTCTAACTCAACAGATAAAAGATTTTTCTAAGGTCCATGGATGAATTCAACATTCAACCTGTCTAAGGTCCATGGGTGAATTCAACATTCAACAGCCCCCCAATGGCTCCAAATAGCTATGAAAAAGTGAGTTTTCGCCCTTGTTTTTTAATTATATCCTCTCAAAATCACTCGGAAGATTTCCCACTTATTTTGATTCTCATAGTTTGAAACTCTTTAGCTTTATTGGGGAGCTAATATTTAGTTTTTCTAATGTAAAAAGAGCTTACATCGGCTCTGTTAGACAAGCTTTTCAATGGTGAAGACTCGAGATTCACCGATTCGTTGTCTCGGAGAAGGTCAATAACCTCCCATTTACTTACTTTCCATTCTAGGTCTTTAAATGAATGTGTGAATGAATAAATGTTCTTGCCCACTTAATTAATTTTTTGTTGTACGTCTATAATTTTTTCATTTTTATTTGATAAATAAAATCAGCATCTAAAATGGCTAATATGAACTGAAAACCTTAAGAAAAATAATAATCACTGATCAGTTAATTTATCGGTATGTGATTAACATTGTTGCTAGTCTAGTTTGTGTGTTCAGAACCACTTGAATGTGTTTTACTTCATTCTTGTTTTTAATCTTGTATGAGAGTTTTAAAATTAACTTGAACATTTAGGAGAAAGCCACTGAGTCATATAACAGTTTAAAGTTGTTGAAATTTGATACTAGCTGCAAAAATATATGGCTCATCTAAAATCTATCTCCAAGGATTTGATGTAATAATATTTCTTTTATCAAAACTTAAATTTAATACAAGTACAAGTTTCTGAATTTACATAACTAAATACTATGTAAAAACTAGATATTACTAGGAAAGATCTCTCTTGAAATTATCTAGATGCTTGCAAAACAACAAAAGTAATGTAATGTTAAGAAATATCATGGTGAATGCTTCATAGTATGATCATACAAGTTATATCATACATTTATAGATAGGAAGGAAGATAACTATATGTTGTAGTAAAGTAATTTCTTAGGAAAGAAAATGTAGTCTTCCTTTGTTCCTTTATGGAAAATAAGAAGTACAAAAGAAGTATAAGTTAGTTGACTTGGTGATTTATTAATTCAGTCAAATGGAAGACTTATTTGTTTTCTATGCTTAGTCTTAAAATATGGTTGAAGATTATATTGGTGCTCACTTTTGATTGTCGTGACTTTGGAAATTTGAAGTTTGTATGATGTCAATTTTTTTTTATTGTATTTATGCTTCAGTAACACTTTTCAACATATTAGTATTAGAAAGTTAGTGTTAGCTTTTGTTTCTGCGAGACCCTTGCCTCCTGCCCGCCCACTCTTGTCCTTAACTCGTTATGCCAAATCTAACTATTTGGTGCTGCTCAGCACAATATTTTCCTTCAGTTGCTTTAGCTAAAAGTTTCACTTTAAACGTGCTTCTGCATTCGATTTTGGATATGATTAATATCTATGAAGATTAAGTTATGGACGTATCCAAAGTTGAAAAAATCAAAGAAGAGTTACCTGATGATGATGGAGATGTCACTAGAAAAAAATAATGATATGGAGTGACAAAAAACATTTACCACAATTAACTATATTTTGATTTTTTGATAATTTAGTTTGAGCAATTGTTCATAGATTCAGTTTTAACGATATGTTTGTGATGACTTTAGCTTCTTTTTAACTCGGCTAAACAATCAGCTCTTCAAGTCAGATGCTTCTCAATTTCAATTTTTGTGCTTCTGCAATTTTATCATATTTATTCATTATTTTGTTTCTATGAAGTTGTTTGCTACTGTGTTGATTGAATGAATTACTTCGGAAGCTGAGATGAAAATTAAGAAGGATTGGAAGTTGTCAGAAGAACAAGGACAAATTTCTATAGAGATAGATAGAACGCTCCAAGAAAAAATGAGATTAAAAGTGGACAAAGAGATTAAAAGTGGTGGATTCTATAATGTCGAGAATTCAACAGGTAAACGCATTGGTATCTATTTCAACCTTTTGTTATAACTGCAACTCTTAAGCACAAGTCGCCAATTGTTAGTTCTATGTAATAAATCTTGAGCTATTCAACATACTCCCCCAGATGCACTTCTTCATTGTTTCTCTTCTTGCATCAAACTAGCTTGTGTTCTTCAATTTTGTGAAGGAATTGAAAAACAACTGATAAATAGAATGCATTTGATGAACTCGGTGTTGAATTTATTGTACCACCAGCAAGTTTGGTGATGTCAGCTTGTGCACTGTCTTTTTCTAATAACTTTATAACTGCCCTTTTTCTATTATCGCTCTTTTATAACCATCTCTTTTCTATTAACATTATGATTATGTTAATAATAAAGTGATCTTTTGTATTTTCCTAATAGGGGCAAGGTTCTTGCATTATCTAAAAAGCCATCGACAAAGGAGGGGAGCTTGAAGACACTTAGTAGTTAATTTTCTTTTTCATTTGTGTATATGCATAAATGACATTGAACAATGAATTATTGTGAATTATATATTTTGTTGATTTTTTTAGTAATAGAAGTACTTGTTATATCCAGTTTAAGGATTATTTTGTGTGTTTCTTCAATTAGAATGAATGATGATAATATATTAATAGCTAATTGACAAAATGTACGAGTATTTATTGATTTTAGAGGAAATTTATTAGAATTGACTATTGCAGTTGTAAATATAGGTTTTGTGGCGACAAAATTAGTGACAAATAGAATTAGTATCTGTGGCGATAATACGTTGCCACCAAATCTCAAGATTTAGTGGCGATTAGAGTTGCCATTGAAAGAATTAAACATTTGTGGCAACATAAGTCGCTACTGAAATCCTTTCTGTAGTGGCGATGAGAGTTGCAACTAATAGTATAAGACCTTTTGTAGGGACTATAATAGCCACTAAAAGTCTAACTTCAGTGGCGACTTACAAAACATGTATTTTGTGGAAGCTTTTTTGTGGCATACCTGGTTACTTTTAGTGGCGAGCTAGATCGCCACAAAAGGTCATTTTAGTGGCGACATATTAGAGTCGTCACAAGAAACATTTAGTTATGGAAGTACTTGCCACAATGGTAAGGTCGCCACTAAACATAATTTGTGGCGACTTTCAGGTGTTCTATAACGACTTTTGTCACCACAAAAGAGCTGATTTCTTGTAGTGTCACTTGTGAAATCAGCCACATTGAAGTTCAGGGTACCTATACCAAGACCTTTGTGTATGCAAAATGTAAAGAGCATCTCAGGGAACCTCTTTGGGACAAATTACTTCACTTGTCTGATATTAGAAATGCTACTCCTTGGTGTACAATTGGAGACTTTAATGTTATAACTGACATTGATGAAAAATTGGGAGGTATACCATATAATATGAGAAAAAGTCTTGGGTTCATTGGTATTATTGAGGCATGTGGACTCATTGATTTGGGATTTAATGGACCTAAATTCACTTGGTCTAATCAAAGGGGTATCAATTTTAGAATCTGGAAGAGGTTGGATAGGGCTATGGTTAACGATAATTGGTTGCAAAGCATGCCTCACACCTGCATCACACACCTCCCTTCTGTGGGGTCTGATCACTGTCCATTACTTATGGAAATGACTGCCAGACCAGATAATTGCATCAAGTATTTCAGATTCCTTAACTGCTGGGTTGAGCAGCCTTCATTTGAGGAGACAGTCAGTGCCTGCTGGAACAGACCAGTGGAAGGAAACCCCATGTGGTCCTTCCATCAAAAAATAAAGAGATTGGCCTCTACTCTTAGCACTTGGTCCAAGATGCAATTTGGTGATATTTATGCAAAGGTCAAGGAATTCGAGGAAAGAGTCAAGGTAGCTGAAGACAACCTCCTTCAGAACAACACAGAGAATCATAGAGAAGATCTTCACAATATTAATGCTGAGTATATTAGATACATGAAATTGGAAGATGCTATTCTTAAACAGAAATCACAATTGCAATGGTTTAAAGAAGGTGATGGTAACTCCAAAATACTTCCATGCATTGATTAGAGGAAGGAGGAGAAGATTATTTGTCCATAAAATCCTAAATGATAATGATGAATGGATACAAGGTGATGAACATATTGCAAAGGCAGCATGCAATCATTTTCAGCATATTTTCACAGGAGAGGAAACAAAGATTGATGAACTACCTATGGAATGCATTTCAAGAATAGTCAGCCAGGAATACAATGACAGTTTGAAAGAAACTCCTTCCATTGATTAGCTTAAGGAAGTTGTTTTTTCCATGAATCCCAATTCAGCTGCTGGACCGGATGGTATGAATGGCTACTTCTTCCAGAAATGCTGGATTATTATCAAGAATGACTTGATGGCTGTGATTCAAGCTTTTTTCAGTGGCCAGATGATTCCTAAATATTTTTCACATGCCTGTCTTATTCTCCTTCCCAAAGTGAAGAATCCTAACAGACTCAATGAATTCAGGCCTATCAGCTTGAGTAACTTCATTACCAAGATCATTTCTAGTTAAACTTTAACCCTAAATCCCAAAACCTAAACCCACAACCTAAACCTTAAACCCTAAACCCTAAGCTCTAAACCCTAATTCCATAAAGCCTAAACCCTAAACCCTTAACCCTAAACCCTAAACCCTAAATCTAAACTTTAAACCTTAAACCAAAAATCCTTAGATCTAAACCCTAAACCCTAAATCCTAGACTCAAACCCTAAACCCTAAACCTTAAACCCAATCCCTAAACCCTAAACCCTAAATCCTAAATCTAAACCCTAATCCCTAAACCCTAAAGCCTAAATCCTAAATCCTAAACTCTAAACACTAAACCCTAAACCCTAAATCCTAAACTCAAAACACTAAACCCTAACCCTAAATTATAAACCCTAAAACCAAAACCCTAAACCTAAACCCAAAACCCTATATCCAAACTCTAAACCCTAAACCCTACATCGTAAATCCCTAACATTAAACCCTGAAACTTAAATCCTAAACCCAAAATCCTTAATTTAAAACCCTAAACGCTAACCATAAAACCCCTAAACCCGAAACCCTAAACCCTAAAGCTAAACCAAACCCGAAACCCTAAATCCTAAAGCTAAACCCTAAACCCTAAAATCTAAACCCAAAACCCTAAATCCTAAATCCTAAACTCAAAACCCTAAACCCTAACATTAAATCCTAAACCTTAAACCCTAAACGTAAACCCTAAACCCTAAACCCTAAATCCTAAACTATAAACTCTAAACCCTAAACAATAAATCCTAAACTCTCCCTAAACCCTAAACCATAAATCCTAAACTCAGAACCATAAACCCTAAGCCCTAAACCTAAATCCTAAACTCAAACCACTAAACCCTAAACCCTAACCCTAAATGTTAAACCATAAACCCTAACCCTAAATCTTAAAACCTAAACCCTAAACTCTAAACCCTAAACCCTAATTCTTAAACCCTAAACCCTAAACCCTAAACCCTAATCCCTAAACCCTAAACCCTAATTCCATAAAGCCTAAACCCCTAAACCCTAAAACCAAAACACCAAACCCTAAACCCTAAACCCAAAAGCTAAACCTTAAACCATAAACCCTAAACCCTAAACCCTAAATTCTTAACCCAAAACCCTAAAATCTAAACCCAAAACCCTAAATCCTAAATCCTAAACTCAAAACCCTAAACCCTAACATTAAATCCTAAACCCTAAACCCTAAACATAATGGTAGTGCACTCACTAATTCGGGGAAAATTGGAGTATGAGGTATTTTGAGAGATTCGGATGGTCAGATGGTTTATGCATTTGCCATTCCCCTTGGCAGTGGCACTAACAATCAGGCTGACGCTCAAGCTGCCATTCACGGTCTTCACTGGTGTGTACAACATGGCTTCAAAAGGAATAATTTGGAAGTGGACTCTGAAATGATTACTAAACGGATCAATCATACATCTAAACCACCTTGGATAATTAGACACTATATTCAAGAATTGAGGAACCTTATTAATCAACTCTAATATTTTCATTGCAATCACACATATAGGGAGGCTAACTGTACAACTGGTTTTCTGTCAAAAATAAGTCACAAATATGATATTCTTCAACAATTTTACACTTATCTTCAACTCCCCAATGCTGCCAAAGGAAGTTACCTATTGGAAAGAATGGGAATGACCAACTTTAGGAGGAAAAAGTTGAAAAGAATTAAGCAACTACCTTGACTTTTTGCCTTATTAGTTTTATTTTAGGTGGTCTTTTTCAACTAAGCTATGCCTTAATGATATAGCTTCTTTGAATAAGTTAGTGTTAGCCTCTTCCTTGTAAGTGGAGAGTTTCCCTTATTTATGCATTTCTAGAAATTTGTATTGAGAGGAGTCCTCTTCTTAGGTGTGTTGTTCTAGTTTCCTTTTATTGTAAAGGGATGAGTGGACTTGCCTTAGTACGAAGGTCTACACAGAACCACCATAGGATCGGAGGTAAGGTTTATGTCCCCCTCCTTGTACTTTTTATTTTTATTTATGTTAAGGCCTGGGGGTGCTGCTAATCCCCTGACTCCATCAAGGGTCGTTAAAAAAAACACTAAACCTTAAACCCTTAACCGTAAACCCTAAAACCTAAATCCAAACTATAAACGCTAAACCCAAAATCCTTAGCTCTAAACCCTAAACCCTAACCCTAAACCATAAACCATAACGCCTAAACCCTTAATCCTATACTCAAAACCCTAAACCCTAACCATAAACCATAAACCCTAAACCTTAAACCCTAAACCCTAAACCATAAACCATAAAACCTAAACCCTAAATCCTAAACTCTAAACCGTAAACCCTAAACCTAAACCCTAAATCCAAACTCTAAACTCTAAACCCTAAACCCTAAATCCTAAACTCTAAACCCTAAACTGTAAACCTTAAACCCTAAATCCGAAGCTCAAAACCCTAAACTCTAACACAAAACCCTAAACCCTAAACCCTAAGAACTACACCTTAAACCCTAAACCATAAGCCCTAAACCCAAGACCCTAAATCCTAAATTTTAAACCTTTAACCATAAACCCTAAACCCTAAACCGTAAACCCTAAACCCTATAACAACAACCCATAACCCAAAACCTGAAACCCAAAACCCTAAACCCTAAACCCTAAACCCTAAAACCTAAACCGTAAACCCTAAACCCTATGCCCTTAACCATAAACCCTAAACCTTAAACCTTAAACCTTAAACCCTACTAAACCCTAAACCCTAAACCCTAAACCCTAAACCCTAAACCCTAAACTTTGAACCCTAACCTGTAAACCGTAAACCATAAACCCTTAACCCTAAACCCTAAACCCTAAACCCTAAACCTTAAGCCCTAAACCCTAAACCCTGAGCCTAAATGCTAAACCCTTAACCCAGACCCTAAACCCTAAACCCTAAAGCCTAAACTCTAAATGTTAAACCCTAAAACCTAAACACTTAACCGTAACACTAAACCATATCCCTAAACCTAAACCCTAAACCCTAAATCCAAACTCTAAACCCTAAACCTTAAACCCTAAATCCTACACTCTAAACCCTAAACCCTAACCATAAACGCTAAACCC